TGGTGGTTCTGGTGGTGGTGGTGGTGGTGGTAGTAGTAGTAGTAGTAGTAGTAGATCACACCTTTTTACGAGTTTCAGTTTAATGCATGTATACAATACTTGTACGCTGTTTGTATATAATGAATTTAATTATAACTTATTTATACTCCGTATAATTGTATAATCGTCACATTAATCCATGAAAATATTACTGAAAATATTTACACCGAATTTATGATGCACTCACCCGATTAATGTGCAGAACGTTACTGAACAGCTGTATGCAGGCCTTCATCAGATCATGTGAATTCTGCCTGCAGAATACACTCCTTTCTAGCGACAGCGTAGAGAACTTTAGACTTGTGCAAGACACGTAGTAATAGCATACTGCATGAGGCTTGAGAGCTCTTAGGAAATAGGCGACTTAAAGACATGCAGTACTTGAACACACACAGTACGTGCCCTTTGTAATAAACGGGGGGTTCCTTAAGAGTATCAGATCGCAGTTAAGGCTTTCTTAAGGAATTTTAGTCTATATTAAAACATTGATAACCAGTCTAAAGCTGTCATAAATGTCCATTTGTTCAAACAGATAAGGAATCATTTCATTGGATAGCGAATTGTGTAGCGCGCAAGGAACAAGCAAGAGAAGCAGGTATATTCTGTGTTCCCTCTGGCGGCAGTTTGGCATAACTATATGTAAATAAGAAGGTGAAAGTGCGTGTATCTTAATTTTGACATTCTGGCAATTCAATTTCCCTTTTCTGAAAGAGAACCAGGTACTTACTCTTAAAATAATTTAATTTATAATCCGTATATTATCGGTACTATGCTTACGAATCATTACACTAGCCGTTAGAATGGATAAGGTGTCAGCTTTACGTCCCAGTCGGTTAAATTCTGGGAACAGCACTGTACCAATCGAGTTGGAGGGGAGAGGAACCTCACATCTGGTTTGGATGCGATGGTGAAAGTAACTCATGGCCCTGAAGAGAACCCCGATAGTCTGGCTCGTAGCCTTAATATATAATAGTGTCCAGTATAGTATATAATGTGACATTTTAAATTAATGGGTCCCGAAATCCATCTGCCGGTCCTTAGTGTTTCGAATTTGCGTCCAATAATCCCAGCGACAATCAATGTGTTTTTTGCTATATATGTATCAGCAAATCGCAATTTTGTGTCAGGATTCCCCGATTATTCGCCTTTAAATCACTACAATGTTTTCGCAGGCTAGAATCTAGATGGATACCCATAAGGGAGCGTGGCTCTTAGTCTGGTGGTGAGTGAACTCCCGTGACATCTATTAGAACAATTAGGAACAAATGTCTCTGTTGTAGACCACTTCACTTATTTTAGAATGAAATTAAAAACCTATTCGGGTCTCTGCACGTAAACATGCATGCATACATGAATAGAGACACATACAAACATACATAAAATATTACTATTGCTTTTTAACGGTATAGATGATTGTTCTATTGTGTAATCATATGAATAAAATGATAATAGTTAAATAAGCACAAAATTTTGCGGTTGATGATCAGGACATTTAGCTTTGGGACACTCAACTACCTACCGAAATTTTAGAATTGAAGATGTCCTGAGATGGCAGTTACAAATAAGATTTTAAAGATACTTCAAGTTCTTAACCGCGGTGAATATTACTATTGCAGTTTTCTGGTGTGTGACGCCGGAAGTTTGTACCTATCTACCAAACTGCATGTTTTCAACCCATTACTTTTAAACGTTCAAGAATTGTAACTAACTCTGTGCTTAATAATATTAAATTCATATCAGTTTCATTAAATTATAATCATGCATACGTGAGAACTTGGTCAGAAGGTCTTGTTTTGCAAGTTATAACACAAGTATCTTCGAGATAACAGGAGTCGTACACGTTCTTGGTGAAATGCATGAATACTGCACCAAGGTGACTGTAGGTAGGACGTAAAAGACATTTACAGAAGAAAGGAAACTAAGAAAGTAAACAAAGGAGAAAGGAAGAGACAAATGAAATGGTTCCTGGCAACAGGGAAGCGGTTGTTGATAATGCTGGCGAACTTTAAGTAGCAATGGCGCAACCGTAAATAACATTTGTAAAACTTTCAGCGAGGCTTAATTACCACCCCCAAAGACCCAACTTTCTTCCATACAAAATTACATTCGAGCGAAGATGGTGCAAACGCTGGATTACAAATATTTCCATATTTCTTCAGGAGACAGCTGTTGAAACCCTTATAAATAGTGTCACTTGAGATATGCGTTTTAACATGTAACTCACTTATAATTACGAGATTGAAGCTGTAATTTCTCGTACACATTTAACGTATTCTGCCATAGTTTCAGATTCCTTTTTACACTGTATGGAAAACTAAAAAAATGTAGAAATCATTTCCTGACGCGTCGTTCTAAAACGCAGTTACCATCACGCAACAACTTAACATTAACTAATATTATATTGTATTTAGCCATCTTGTAGCACTAGTTACTGATTTAATTAACATAAACAGTCTACGAGCATGACAAGAAGATACCTCCTTCAATATTGCTCCTGAAAATGAAACCATTCATATTAATTATGTTAGACATTTTGATACATTATAATGGGAAGCAATTTTATATCTTATCTGACGTTCAGCCGTATTAATAATTCGATGACTATGACCACTACTAGTCGCCAAGAAAGCTTTCAAGTGTGACAAAATCCAAATTTATATTTTCTCATACCAGTAAGCCAAAGTGACAGAATTTAGTAATTCAGTAGCTACATGGTAGCTACAGCTTATTAATACCCAGAACTTGTATCTGAAGCCGTCTTCAATATGTTGTAATTTAACCAAATTTCATTAATTTCACTCGGTAACATAATCTTTTTTTTTTTTTACACAGACGATAGGACTCCTTGAACGAGTGATCAGCCCGACGCAAGGCTGCTACCTACACACAGGGCAACACAAATACGAAATAAACGCACACATAAACATCCATGCCGTGAGTGGGATTCGAGCCCACGACCGCAGCGTTCGAGCGAGCAAAGACAGTTGAGGCCACTATGATCGGCAATTTAACGAAATACAAAACCAAATTCGTACATTCCTCTTCCTGATCTGT